AAATATGAAAAAGAAGATAAACCTACGCCGGATAGCGGGACTACATACAAGACACGATCACATCAAAGTGCATAATACCATGAGCTCTTCTTCAACAAAAAGAAATTCATATAATTGATTTGATCCAAGGTTCAAAAGATGGCATCAAGAAAAGGATTTCATAGCTTATGATGTGGTTAGAAATCAAAGAAAAGTCTAAGGCTCAAAAGGGGCTTACTATTGATTCAAGAAAAAGGGTAGGCTTCAAAAAAAAAAAAAGGATATAAAGAGAAAAGGCTAGTCCTATGTACCCTTATTAATGATTTTATGCATTCAATTTCATCAAAGGTGTACACATAGACATTCATAGCAAAGCAAATTCTAGAAAAACCAACTAGTCGAGACATCACACATTCAAGAAAATGGAGCATGATATTAAATGTATGCTCATAGGCTCAAATCTCACCAACAAAAGGGTCATAACCAAGTGTTAATTCCATGTGTCTCCATCACATAATCATCAAGTAGTATTCATCATCATGTAGCATCAAGGGCTCAAACATAACAAGTGTACGGACACAAGAAGAAGGATTGTTTCACTGAATTGGCATAGATGAATTAAAAATGACCACAAGAGAAATAACAATCAAGACTCAACACCATTAAACAAACCTAAAAACTCAAAACTGTACAAATACTCTTGACCACATTTCAAATATTATGAGGGAAGATAGGCATAGAGACTCACAAAATTTTATCCAGGTGGCATGCATGAATAACCTTTAATTTCCTCAAAGATCTGTCAGAACTCCCATTAAAGCTGTCATGATTCCTTATTCTATAGTGAGGTCCATGTTGTTGTGAACAAATTTCAAGTCTCTATTGACATGGTCATGTCGTTTTAAGCCCAACACCATCAATCCCAATGTTCAAGCAAAAATTCTGCCATAGAGAACAGAAAAAGTATCAGCAACAGAAACAAATTATTTTAAGGCATGGGCACGGCTTAAAACTATCATTTAACGTGTACGTGGTTTTCTCATGCCTTCAAAAAATCGTGTCTACCTTAAAATTACTCCAAGCCCTAAACAAAACTAGAAAAATATCAAAACAAAGACTAACAAAATAAAATAAAAAACAAAATCTAACATAAAAATAAAAATAAAAATTGGGTTGCCTTCCAAAAAGCGCCTTTTTTTTATCGTCGTTGGCTCGACATGAAGCTCTGGATTTATTCAGAATAAATGGGGTCCTCGAGGCCCTCTCTTTCTTCATGCTCAGGTTGGAAGTTCTCGTGATATGGCTTAAGTCGATGTCCGTTGACTATGAAAGACTTCAAGCTCGACAGACTCCGAATCTCAACAGCCCCATGAGTAAAGACCCTGGTGACTTCAAAAGGTCCTTCCCATATTGTTCGTAGCTTTCCTCGGAACAATCGAAGACGGGACTGGTACAAGAGAACTTTATGCCCAACTACGAATTGCTTTCTAGAAATCCTCTTATCATGGAAAGCCTTTGTCTTCTCTTTGTAGATCTTGGGGCTCTCATAGGCCTCGTTTCTCATCTCTTCCACTTCTTGAGTTTGTAGTTTCTTATGCTCGCCGCTTGCACTCATCTCCAGAAGCTTCAGGACCTTAGCTTTCATGACATCCAACACTACCGGATTCAAGCTGCGTTGGGGTTGACGAATAGCTTCAGCTCCCATTTCCAGTAAAATAAGATGCGTGCAAATCGAGGGGTTTATTCTCTTTATGTCCGAGATAATCCACCCCAACGCTTGCTTGTGTGACTGGAGAACTTTCAAGAGCTCGTCTTCTTGAGATTTGGTAATCTTACTCGAAATAATCACTGGAGGTGTGTTTTCCTTTCCCAGGAATACATACTTGACATGGTCGGCCAGCGGCTTCAGTTCCTTGACGGGTGTCTGCAAAATGGAGGGTGGGGATTTTTCATTAGTATCGAAAGAACTAATACCACTAGACTCACCTTTACCATTGGTCTCTAAGCCATCATCCATGATCATGTGATTGTCCAATTCATTGGCTTGACCTGGGGCAATGCTAAGTAGTGAGTTGTCTGCTAAAGTCCTGATGGTGTCGCCCACGGTATTATCCTCTGAAAGTGACAAAATTTCCTGAGCCAAATTATTAACCAAGTCAACAGATAGTACGGATTCATCATCACCAGGATACTTCATAGAATTATATATATTAAATTTAATTAATTGATCATCAGATTCCATGCTAAGAATTCCATTATGCACATCAATCATGGTCCTAGACATTTTTAGAAAAGGTCTTCCAAGTAAAATAGGAGCAGTGGCATTGTTATTCTCCATATCAAGAACATAAAAATCCGCTGGAAAAACCAAGTCATTAACTTGAACAAGAACGTCCTCGACCAAACCCTTCGGAAACACATTGGACCTGTCCGCCAATTGAATGACAACTCCTGTTGGACTTAAAGGTCCGAGCTTCAAAGAACTATAAATTGCATATGGCATTACATTAGTAGAAGCTCCCAAGTCCAACATAGCTCTTTCAAAATGAATTCCACCTATGACACATGGAATCGAGAACATACCTGGATCCTTACATTTCGTGGGAAGCTTCCGTTGTAAAACAGCGGAGACATTCTCACTTACCTTAACTTTCTCATGGCGTTTGAGTTGCTGTTTGCGCTTGACAGTACACAACTCCTTCAAAAATGTTGCATAACGGGGAACTTGCTTGATGGCATCTAGCAACGGGATGTTCACCTCGCATCTTCGAAACGTCTCATAAATATCTCGGATAGGCCCGTCTTTCTCATGTCGAACCCATGCCTGTGGAAAAGGTGGTTCAGGCTTATACTCGGAATTGGTCAGCTTCTTATTAGCCTTCTTGCTCCTCTCTTTAGCTCCCAGTTCAGTTTCTTGCACCGCACGCCATGTTGGTTATCCGAACCTGCTGCTTCAAACTGCTGTGCGTGTGAATTTTCCTGTATCTGCTCCAACTCTTTGCCACTTATTAAGATCATGGAACTCACATTCTTAGGGTTTACCTCAGGTTGAGAAGGGAGTTTTCCACGAACTTGTGCCTCCAAACGATTCACAGAGGTTGCGAGCTGACTTACTTGAGTTTCAAGGGTCTGCATGCTAACTTTGGTTTCATTTTGAAATTGCAGAGTACTGGAGGCTAGTTGCTTCACAATGTCTTCTAGAGAGGTTCCAGAATCAGCACTTGGGGGCTGCTCGGGTGGTGCTTGTCTACGAAATAATTGAGGGGGACGTTGCTGGAAACTCCCACCATGGTTCGGGCCAGGCTGCTGGTAAAATGAGTTCCCGTACCTCAAGTTTGGGTGATCGCGCCAACCGGGATTATATGTACTCGAGAATGGATCATATTGCTGCTTCCTGGGAAAGTTCCCATTTGTACCGACTGCATTCGCATGTGCCTCGATTTCATTCTCTATCACGGGACAAGAGTCGGTATCATGATCGGTGGTGGCACATAGTCGACAAGGCTTCACAGGCTTCATTCCTCCAACAGAAAATCATTTCACCAAAGTTGTCAGTTCCATAAGCTTTTCCTCTAAAACAGAGTTATTTGCTCCCGTCCCCGCATTAAGTGTCACATCGTTACGGGTGCCAAATTGTTGTGAGTTTGCAGCCATGGTAGCAATTATACGACTCGCTTCGGCCGGTGTCTTGTCAACAAGAGCTCCACCACTTGCAGCATCAACCATGTTCCTATCCATCAATGCCAGGCCCTCGTAGAAATATTGGATCAGTAGTTGCTCGCTGATTTGATGTTGCGGGCAGCTTGCGCACAATTTCTTGAAACGCTCCCAATACTCGTATAAGTTCTCCCCATGTAATTGTCGCACCCCGCATATCTCTGTACGTATGTTGGCAGCTCGGGATGCTGGAAAGTACCTCTCTTAGAAAAGTCGTTCCATTACCTCCCATGTTTCAATCGAGCCCGACGGAAGGTAGTAAAGCCAATCCTTGGCCGCATCCTTCAGTGAAAAAGGGAAGGCTCGCAACTTGATTTGTTCTTCTGTGATACCTGTTGGTTTCATGCTCGTGCAAACTAAGTGAAGCTCCTTCAAGTGCTTGTATGGATCCTCTCCTGCATGACCATAAAACGAAGGTAAATAATGGATTAGCCCAGATTTTAGTTCAAAGGTAATGTTATCATCTATAGCAGGAAAAGTAATGCAAAGGGGCTGAATATCCAAATTAGGAGCTGCCAGCTCCTTTAATTTTCTATCCGCATTCGCCATCTGGACCACGTTCAAGTCCCTTTCTTCCAAGTCTTCTTCCGAATCACTGTTAATCTCGAACAAGCTGGTAAGTGTCCCCTCTTCGATGTCTATAGGGGTTGCCCTCCTCCTTGCTTCTTTTCTCAATCTCTTAGCTGTTTTCTCAATTTCTGGGTCAAATTGAATATCTTCATAAACACTGGAACGCGTCCCGATCATCAACTGCCAAGAAAATATTAATCAAACTAACCAAGCTGTTAGAGAAGTAAAAGATAGCAGAGAGAAGACAAGAAAAATAACAATATAAAAAAAATAAATAAAAATAAAAAATAATATAATAATACCACACAATCAATGATTTAATTAAAATAATTCCCCGGCAACGGCGCCAATATTTGGTTGTGCTGTCGTAGGCACCCAAATTAACCTTACTTAAAAGTATGTAGTAGTGTGAGCAAGGATCGTATCCACGGGGAATAATTTAATTAAATGACTGTAATTATGTGATTAAAATGGGGGAGAATTGATTTATAATCCTAATTATCTAATTAACAATAAAATGAAGAAGGTATTGGTAAAAGATTATTAAATAAAAGACTCAAGAGTAACAGCAAGATGAAGATGAATATATATAAGAAAAGTGCTCCGGTTGAATTGATTTCCACCCCGAATTATTCTACTGATCCTTGATGCAAATATTATCAATTCATAAATACGTAGATGCCGTTGAATGATGAATTCTGACTCCTAAATTGGCCGTGCAAAATAAATCCTCCTACACAACCCTTATTACTAGGCAATTCTCAACATCGTGCAAAATTATCCTAGCAATAGCATTAAGAAGTAGAGCCCGACAACACAAGCAACAAATAACTAATCCGTTAAATAATAACTTGTATAATTATTTTGCCTAAGAATGATAATGCCTAAATCCGGTCAATTACCACACTCAGTTGCTTCTTAGGATAGATAAATCATCTAAATCCGACTCAATATCTACCAAGCAATAGATTAAGTGCATAAGACAATAGTTGATCAGGCCACGATCCTAACACAAAATCATAAATATGAAGACACAAAACAATTAATACGAAATATGAATTAATAGATAAAAACTAATTAGATCTCACAGTATCAAGTTCGGGGTTTCAATCGTATTCAACCAAAGCAAAAGAGAATTAGCCGCGCAGGGCTTCCATAAAGTCTAGCAAAAGTGTAGAAGAAAAATAGAGAAAAGGGAAGAAAGAATTTTTAAGGTTGATGATCGCGTGATCCCTTCTTTCTGCTCCTTGCGGCTCTTCTGTTTTGTGCTCTCTGTAGGTTTTATAATCTGATTTTCCCTTTTAATTACAGCTGGCCTTTTAATTCTGTTGGGCTTAGTATTTACGGGCCACATCCAGATAATAAGTTGCAAAATTTCCGTCCATACTGACATGGCCATGTTCGTGCAAAACCCAACGCGGCCATGTTGGTTATATGTGCACCATGCGATCTAACTGCACAAAAATATCAACAAAGGTAGTTTCTATTCGAAGACACGTAAAGAAGTCGAAAACACATCACTTAAGCAATAATATTCAACACATAGTCCAAATTTTACCATAATAGAAACATATATTTTCGACTTATCAGATTGCGAACCACATCCTTTTGGCCAATCTTGTACACATGATGGCCGGTATGTTGGACTTGTCGGCTCCTCCAGCATGTTTTCCAGCCATATGCCAAGAGCATCGTCACCTTCTTCTTCGGACTCGCCGGGGTTGATGACCACTTCCGTATCACAGCACCCCTACGCCCAGCAGTGCGCATGCGTAGCCAGTAACCCGCAGCCAAGCCCCGCGCTGCAGCAGTCATGCGCGTAGGCGTGCGCAGTGCACGTCAACACGCACAACAGAGTCAACCTAGCCAGTCTGCGTGCACGACAACACACCGCACGCCCAACAACGTGCCCAGCGATGCCAGTACGCACGCCATCTGTGTCCCACGCACGCTGGCCATCAGTCATGCACGCCAGCATGCCTAGTAGCATGCCAGTGATGCCCAGCGGGCCTCAGCCAGTGCCCGGCAGCACGCCCAAGCGCCCAGTCACCCCACCACGCGCGACCAGCGTAGCCCGCGTGCCCAGCCGCCTGCCCGTGTTGCACAGCAGCGCCCGATAGCGCTAGTACGCGCTAGTGCCGTAGCCCGCGTGCTCGGCAGTGGCCAGTCA